ATGCATCTGCAATATAAAGATCGCCAGTCTTGTGATTGAAACTTAATCCCAATGTTCGCCCGCACCTAAATTCAGTGTCATCATGATCTTGTGCGCCTTCGCAACCATGTCTGTTTACGGAGACATTGTAACTGTTAATGTAAATAAGTTATTGTATCGATTAGTCAATTAGTATCAATCAATGATTAGCATCAATTAGGTCAATTCTGTCGACAGTATGTATCTATAGGAAAGCGAAGATTTGATGATAGAGATGTGTTGTGGAATGATATTAATACAAGTATTTGAAGAAATTTGACCACTAACTTGCATCTATTCAACCTAAATATCTTAAATATGTTTCAATCTGTAACATGCAGCCATAAATATTCGGTTTTTCTAACGGATGCCTTTGGAGCACTTGTTAACGTACTTAGTATTCATTTAACATAATATATATATATATATACACACACATATTAACATATATTATCTTCTCTTGCATTTATATTCTTTTCCTATTTAATTTTTCCTACTCTCCCTAGCGTTTATTTATTTTTTTGCTAATTAATTTTATATTTTAAAAAATATAACATCTGAAATATATCTTAAACCAATAAACGTTTTAGGCATTTACATCATAAGAATTAGAGTGTTGTAATGTTACATGAGGAAAACTTCCAAATTTATTACTTTCTCATTGATTGATTACTAACCACAAAGTTTTCCCCTCTTATCATTTTAATTACCAACTCTATCACGTGGAACCTGGAATTTCATGCATTTTATGGCATTAACTATTGAGCGGTTTCATGTCACTTCACCGATTTCAAAAGTAAAGGCAGCACATATAGGTACACATACACATACATAATTATGTGCCTTCATGACAAGATACTAATTCTGTTAATTGGGATTTTTAGAATTGTGAAGTGGTGAGAATTATATTATATGTCCATAATGTGTTAAACAAGAGACCCATGAAGAAAAAAGGTACTTAGGGTTAGGTTGCCTCTGATATTTGAGAAATATACTTATATTCTCAGGGTTTAAATTAACTTTTTATTGAAGGACAAATCATCCATTTAAGAAGTAGCCACCACACCACTAGGGCCACAACAAGTCTACGAGCAGGCAGCAGCAGCAGCAGGTTGAATTGGGGAGGGGACACAAGAGGTCACGATTAGTTGTCCATCTGTGACAATGCCTTGCATGGCCAATTCTGACAGCCATTAGTGTCTGGCATGGTCAATATTGGCCTTAAAATTATCAATTTTCAAATGGGCAATTGCAATTTGTCTAAAAAAAATGAAATAAAATGTGCAAGTTGTGTTTTAATGTCCTGAATAGCTTTCAATAAAATGTATGAGGCGACTAAATAGTGTTGATAATCTACATTAATTTCCTTAAAGAATCATATATTTTGACCTTTTAGCATGCCAATTACGTCTAACAGCTCAGAATCATTAGGCAAATGGGAGTTTGGATATTTATGAGGACTGGAGCAGCATTAACTAATTGTAAATGATTCATCAAAGATTAAATTAACCAATCTACGAGTCTGTATTTTCATGAAAATACAATTTGAGAATTAGTGACCATGAAAGCTTCAAATTTTCAACTATAGCCGTGGAATTGCTCCTCAATTTTGATTATATGTTCTAATGTCGATGAACAAAAAGAAGATTCACTATTTATTTGAGGAACCAAAAGAGCGAACAAATCCATGGATTTGATTCCTACACAAGATCTAATCTAACATTATTTTACAAGACAGAGGAGTGGAGTGATTGCGACGTGGAGGCAAAATGTCAAGGTTAATTGAATATCGACTCAAAATTCTTTGCTTCACATGAAGCAAAAAAAAAAAAAAAAAGACTTTCCTAAGTGTGTAGAAGATTTCTCTTACGCACCTGTAGAAATCTTTAGAAACCTTGACTTGAGGAGGGAAAAAAAAACATTTTAGCTAACCTACATCATGTGAATATTTTTAACCTCAAAGTTCCATCTTATGCCAGTTATTATGTTAGCCTAACAGATTGGTAGTGTATTTATGTTGCAAAAATATTACCAAGTTTGCCATGCATTCTTGTACCAAACAAAAACCCCTTTGGATTCCCCAACCTTGAAACCTCGGCTGTAGGGGGGTTGAATCAAGACTGACAGTCTAAACTTTGACTCGATTCGATTCGTTTACGGTCATACTTTGGGATAATGGAATATAAATCATGCTAGTTAAATGCATGGGGATAAATGTAACACAGAGACACATGGATAAGAATGTTTTCACCTGTGAGGAGTTGTCACAGCAAAGTTGATCCACCGATTCTCGTTACGCTGCCATTTGATTATCCGACCATCAGAAACACCAGTGTACGGCCCCTCTCCATGTTTGTCGAAAGCTAAGCTCTCAGGTCCAACTGCATCAAGAATTGGAAGTACTTCATATTGGTTAGATTGCCCATCTTGTTCATGTTGGTGATATTGCTGGTCTGGTTCAGGTCGAGGGCTGACTAGTGTAGCAATTAGAACTATGGCTAAGGTCGCCAAAAAGAGCTTGCCGTTCATGGCTATTATGACAAAGAACACAAAATTGTTGAACTTATTGAAGTCGAAGGCAAGTATATATAGCGATGAGACGGTTTTTTTTTTTTTTTGGTCAAAAAAAGTTGAGGAGGAGGAGAGACTCACTTCATTCAACGACTAGGACACACTATTAAGTGGTGTACTATGTAGATTACCCTAGGTCTTACAGATTATCTACAAACAAACTATGCACGAGAGCTGTGCGGGTTTGATGAGTTCTTTTAAGGGTAAATTATCTTTTTTACCCCTCATGATTTGATGTTTTATGATATAACTCCTCCATGGTTTAAAAATCTATATATAACATTTTCGTAGTTTGGGTTAAAGTGTTATTGTTATTTTTTTATTAAAACTAATGCTCAATAGTGAAAAGTCAAAATTAAACTAATAAATTTACAAATTTAACATTTCATTATTTCTTTTTTTCCTCCAAATATAAAAAAGAAGAAATTGAAATAAAAATAGATAAATAAGAACTAGAAAAGATTTGGTTTAAAAACTTGTAATGATATTTGTAATAAGAAAAGGTTTGATTTTTTTGTTTCTTATTTATTTGTTTTATAGTTTCCTTCCATCTTTTTTGTTCAAGTCTTAAAAGGCGTCAGGACATTTTACACAAAAGTTGATCGTTTAAATCTTAGTCTTGTCGCATCGGGGTCTTAAAAGTTGAATGGCGGTTTAGGAGTTAGTTTCATTTGGCTTAGAGAGTGGAGTGCACGTATCCTTATACTATATAAGATTGAGTTTTGGTCAAAGAATAGGTTGAATTTCAACCGCATAGGTGGGGGCTTTCTAGGAATGTGAAATGTTGTGTATTAGTTTAAAAGCTTTAAGTACAAGTTAATGAAGCATGTATTTGGGTATGTTTACTTAAATGACCCTATTTTAATACATTTAAAGTTGTCATTGATGAGCCATCTGGGTATTGATGAAATGTGTAATTATTGTGCAACTATTTTTGCATTTTGTACAACCTATATATGCTTGTATGTTGGTGTAATTACCGGAATATCCCTTAGCTACCAATAATTCCCCTTTTCAGCCGCAAATAACCGTTTGAGATGTTGCTTTGTCTGAAACATTTGAATGGTAATCGGATTTAGGAAATGAGCCAACGATTTCTCTATCAATGGTAGGAACCTATTTTTCTATCATTTATAATCTGCATGTATGAGCCACAAACGTTAGTCATTTTATCCCCTTTCAGCTTCAGGAGTTAAGTTTTCCCTTTTGCCTTTGTCTACAACGATTTGTCTCATCGTTTTCTCTTCCATCCGAGCTCAACTCTAAAATTACCTATTATTTCGTCATTAATTACACCCAATTCAATTGCCGAACCGTTGGTATCTTAATGCCTAAATGGTTGATTATCAGTTTCTCCCTGTTTGTATTCTAGGATTGGGATAATTCTACTTGGCTTCATACTAATCAGCTCAGAATGCTCTTCAGTCCCAGCTACTCCTGGTGGTTCAGCGTGAGGTTAGATTTCACCCCCTCCCCCAATTTTTCAGTTCCCCCCTTAATTTTGTCGGTGTATTCTGAGTATCTACAATTAGCGACTCTTATCACGTTGCCTAGCTGCAAGATAGCATTTTTCGCGTTGCCTAACCCCAATTGGTTTGGATTGGTTATAATCTTATAGGTTTGAAACAACAGCAAGAAAGAGCTCTCGGTGGGAATTATGGAATAAGGTTAGCTTTCTGTGTTGCTCTACCTTTCTGCATTATCAATGGCCTTCAATTTGACACAATTTTATTGTAACACTTTGTGAATTGATTAATTATATCGTTTATCTTTTCATACTAAGTTTTATTTCTTCTCATAATGTACTATTATTTGTTCAACAAAAAAACCTCCTTCCCCACAGGCACCAAACATCCGCGCGATGCGCACGCACTCCCCCCTAGTCTTAGCTTATAAAAATGGGTTATGAGTTTTCTGTTACATACTAATGTACTAATGTATAACATTTACATGACACACCCTCATACATTGACAAGTGTCTTTCTGAAGAGTTCAACTTAAATAAGGATATAATCACGAAAATTTAAAGAGAACATATGTCAATATATTAGAATGCGTAACATGGATGTTATACACTATTGTGCAAGCATTGATTTTGTTTCTTGTGGATTGTGGAGAAAAGATTGTGAAAAAATATTGATTTCTTACCAAAAGCTTTGCCTCCAATTATGCTCCCATACGACCGACTCTTTGGTTTTGGTTATTGAAACAGTCTATCTCAGGCACTTCATGCAATAGAATAACGAATGTTCTCTATATAATAATTCAACTTTCCATTGTTTCTAGTTCTACTTGAGTACTAGTTATGTACTTCTGCGTTCACTTTTTCGTGCCTTTCATAAGGCAAAGAGTACAAAACATAAATCGCCACGAGTATAAGCCAGAAATATTAAACTACGTGAAACCAACGATTTCAGGAACCCATACCAGTGGGAGACTGAAAATTCACTTGTCTTTTTCAAATGATAAGTAACATCGATTTTATGAGAAATATGTACAATCTGAGCAAATACTCAATAACCACTTTACAGTTTGCACATTTTAGTACAATGAAACAAGATTGACCCCTTTCACAAATCATCAAAACTGCTCAATGCTTGAGGGCTAATTGTGTGACTAAGATCTGCCCTATCCATTCCTATTAAGCAGGAGACCGTGAGAAACATGCAAGTGATAACTCGAATTTAAGAGCATTTACCCTCAACCCTATTCTCTGTAGGACCATGACCGTATTGGCCAACAATTGTTTCATGGATATAAATTCAAGGATACGATTGTCTACCCTTACGATCAATGACTACTCCATAAAAAGAAGAACATGTAATAGTTAGATCTATGAGTTTAAGGGTCAACAGATTAATGATATGACTAACTAACTTGGCCAGTCTTCCAAATCAGGTGTGCTTTATTTATTTTTATTTTTTTTTGCCCCCTTCCTCTGCCCAATTTATTTGTCGCTTCTGATACTTCTGTTACAAGAACAAAAGACGGGGGGTCGGAGTTCAGGTACTCTATTTAAGAGAGTTGTTGGCCTGTTATGCTCAGATAGTAACGAGAAATTTAAACAGATAGTACAGGATCGAATTTCATCAGTCTACCTGAGTTGTCACCTCTAAGTATTACAGAAATGTATTCCCTGCAAATTTTAGGAATTATAATTTGTGTCATTGTTGCTAACAACACATATATAATCTAAAAGCTTTAGGGTTGCACTAATGAAAAAGAAATAATGAAATGAAATGAGTAAGTAATTTGACTACAAACATTTCTGCTGATTTCTTTACTATTTAAGAGGATGTTGATAATAAGTTAATAACAACATTTCCAGTCTATTGTTTTGTACCATCTGGATTAAGGGCTTCAAATTGTTGATACTTCAGTTGACACAATGACTCAGTCCAGTCACAACTCCATACAACATATATAATTTCCCCTGGGATGTAGACTTGTTCTTATCAGATGGAGAAGGTTATGGATTGGATTGGGTCAAAGCACACTTTTATTTTTTTTGGGGTGATTTGTAACAGTCAGTAGGGACAATATAGAGCCTAATACATGTGAAGATGGGATAATCTAATACTGAAGACTATACAAGATGCAATGAATAGTAGTCCTCAGCTCTAATCTTCATGCTCCTTTCCCACTTCTTAAATCCCACCATGCCCCTACTAGGAAAAAAAAAAAAAGATGCAATAAATATAATTACGAAGGGGCATTCTTGATGACAATGGTAGTTGGGACCATTATACCATTATTTGTTGATGAGTTCCTTTGGCCTGGATAAGCCTCATCAGTTGTTCAAAGTACATTTTGAGTCAGAATTTACAATCTTTTCAGGTTTTGGACCACATACATTAAAAAAAAAAAATCTTAAAATGATATATTCTATAGATATTGGAACAACTTGAAAAGAAATATCAAGAAATTGAATTCGATGGAAATTAATTGAAATTTCCCTTCAATAAGTATCCATTTAAGCACCCCTCCTAGTTCTTTAAATTATGAACAACTTTCACAGAGTATTAAAGAAAATATGAGAGTGTCATAAAATCTAAATTAGAACCAAACTTTGCAGATATTGTGTGTTTGGATAGGAGTTTATTTGAAATAATTACTGTTGTTTTTTAATGATGTGAGATATGTGAAATAAAAATGTAATTGAAAAGATAAAAAATTGTATTAAAAAATGTACTTATAATGCAAGTAAATAATTTTTGTGCAAATAATGTATATCCAATTTGTTGCAGCATTCTTACCGTTTCTAGGAAGAAATGAAAGAAAATGAAGAAAAAGTGGTGGATGGGCATCAAAAAGTTCAATCACCATTTTTTAAGCCCAAGGTATTGTTGGTCCAGAGTGGTTCACATTATCATTTGGCCTAAAGTCGCCCATTTCCAGTTTAGGTTGAGAAATGGGCCAAACCATAAACTTTTTCGTGCATGTTCAGTTGAAAAATTTTAGCCCATAAGTATATATTCAGCAGCCCACAAGAATGACCTTGAAGAAAAGAAAAAATGATGCACAAATTTACCTCCTTTGGAATTTTGTACTGCTATCAGTAAAATATACTATGCCACTTGTTTGATCAACAACCACACCATTGGTAAACTTAAAAGGAATTCCTTGGGCTTCCTTTGCTAGAGATGTTGCCAATCCACCACTGGAGCCCACCAAAAGTAGGCCCATGTAAGCATCTGCAATGTACAGATCACCGCTTTTCTCATTGAAACTTAGGCCCAATGGCCTCCCACATCTGGATTCTGCCTCCACATGATCATGTGAACCATCACAACCAGTTCTGATACAGAAAATAACAAGCAGTCTCAGAAAAAGATCAAATTATCCAAGAATTATGGGCAAAATGAAAAATTCTTTGCCTGACAAAAATCTGTCTACAGAATTATTGGCAAAAGTTTGTCAGGAAATGGCTGTAGCAAGAGTTTTATGTCCCTCAAACGTCAAAGGTTCACATCCTGAATCTTACAAGAATTCATTTTACTTTATTTATTTTCGAAGATGAAGATAATGTTGGGCCAGCGCATCTCCCATATGGTCCGCACAAGAAGCCAAATGATGTTAAAGAGGATCCAAAGTCGTCTTGATATTTTTTTGGCAAACCAAATACTACGTGTCTAACTTTCTAGGTGTTTTGGGACATCTTGAAGGTTCGCTATTTATGGAAGTTCGAACAGCTTTAAGTAGGGAATCCTCTGGAAGAGCCAAACTTTAGCTAGCTTCTGACTAAGCCCTTTGACAGGTTTAACTATATTTAGAAAGTCCTATGAACAAATCGAATCGAATCAAATCACTCGGGAGTCGAACTCAAGTAGTTGGAGTAACTCAATCAAGTTAAATTAGATATAATATCGCATCACCTAATTCTTTTAAACCTTAAACAAGTGTAATTTCGTCTTAGTCATTGTCACATGTGATGGACGAATTCATAAATACAGAAGTTTAAGTGCATATATTGGGTTCGAATCTCCGGCCTCTGCCTCAAAAAAGGACTTAATCCTTTTTTATAGCAAGTATGATCAATGTGTAAATGCATGCAAGAATACTAGCACAAGCACGTATATCATTGTTACCAATTAAATAACAATGATTAGACAAAATAGAATGAATATCATGTTAAAACTTGTCTCAACAACGTACAATGTAAAGGTGATATGAAGTGATATGTCATGGTGCCCTATTATTGATGTTTGTGTTCCTACTTCTCAGTTTGTTGCGTTTATTATTGCCCTTTTGTCTTGGTAGGTCAGGGAAGCCTACCCCAATTTAAGAGCCCATTGATCAATTCTTCCTAACGATTTATCGAAATTGTTCTTCTATAATCCACAAGAAAGATTGGATAAAGCATATGTCAATATAGTAGCCTTTCATTTACTGTTGAAAATTGAATGAAAGAAAACTATAAATCACAATCAAAACTTCCTTGTCAAACAATTCCATCGAACAAGAGAGTAGGGGATATTTTTTGTCACAAACAATTCCATCAAACCAGAGAGTAGGGGTTTTTTTTTGTCAAAGAATTCCAACAAACCAGGAAGTAGGGTTTGGGGCGAGGGCACATGTATGAGCTTGGTTTTGCTGGAATGTAGTAGATAAAGAAATACTTGGTAAATTTAGTCTTGTAGATCTACGTGTTTTAAATATTTGTACCTTTATAGAGTATAAAATAGCAATGCAAACAATATGTAATTACATAAAGTATGGCCTACAAAACCAGCCTAAGTATTTTCTTTTCTAGTAATCACTAGTATGAGTTACTTCTATTTATAGATAAATTTTTTCAAATAATTGAATCTCTAGTTCCAACAAACGTTTTACATTTAGAAAAAGGGTTTTTTATTTGTAAAAAATAATAAACTTGTGGCTTTGACGAAAACCATGGTATACACAACAAAGGTGACCTATAACCATCAATTTGTGAACCTTAAATTGCTGCAAGAATAGAGTGATTTTGACCCAAATCATGATAGAATAATGAGTGTGTTTGGATAGTAGATTATTTGGAATAATTTTTTGAAAAAAAAAACACTGTAACACTTTTTTATTATAATGCATATGAGATAAAAATGTGATTGAAAAATATTTTGATGATATAAGCAAATAAATTTTGATAATAATTCACTATGATTTAGAATGTGATTAGAATGAAGTATACAATCAAAAAGGAAAGCCGCCCCACTTATTTAATCTCATGCACATCATACCCCAAAATTTAGTCAATTTGGTACTAATGTTGGGCACACTTATTTAATCTCATGCACATCATACCCCAAAATTTAGTCAATTTGATAGTCAGCCTGGTAATGGTAGTATGAATAGACTTAGTGATAAACTAAGTAAGAAAACAATGCACATCCATTTTGACGAGGAGTTTCTTGATCCTCAGTGTCTTAGTACACTTTTGTAAAGTTCAAGTTTGAGTCCTTGCTCATATATTGTAATGGTTTCTCTCAGAAATAAAAATTTCTATCGTTTCTGGAAAACAAAAAGTACTAATGATGGGCATATCTTTTTTTTTTTTTGGGTCCTTTTCCCTTCTAAGTAATATGACATAATAAGGGCCACATAATTATGGTTCGTGAAAATGCCTCAACCTAGATTTCATGCTCAGAGCAATCTTTTGATAGAATATCAAATTTACCCTTCTCAAGTTTCACTAGAATTTCGATTCTGAAGGGATAGTTTTGTCATTTTAACAACGGACGCTGTGAAAATAAAATTTGGGTTTATACTTATAAGCATTCACATGTATGGTCATTTTAATTCAATCTACCCAAATTCTACATACAAACAAACTTAATTAGGGTTTTCCTCCAAATTTACTTCAATATGGACGTATTCTTAAAGAAAGTAAGATTAATTCAAAGTGATACAAGCAATGAATACAAGATATACTTCAAGATAAATTAAAAAGAAAAGATTCACTTTTTTTTCCCTGTTTACATTAAGGTACAAAGTCTCAACTTTAACGTAAAAAATTTTAACCGTCACAATCAACTCTACCTCAAATTCTACCATATATATGACAGTACTGTGGTAACTGATGGATTTTGTTGCCCAAAACTGACCAAATTTGCTATGCATTCCAGCTCCTCCCCACCAACCATACACCCCCTGACCCCAATATTCACACCCCCTCCCCAAAGAAAACTATTTTCTGGCTCCTAATGCCATAAATTATTGATATTATGTTAATTGCATGTGGCAATGCAATAGATTCCAAACTAATTATATCAGATTATATCATAAATTATATCAGATTTTCTGCAGGTTTAACTTTAAAATTTTAAGTTGATGGTATCATGTAGTATATAAAATCAAACAAACTGACAAACATGCAAAGACAAAGAGTGGAAAGAAAATTCACAATAGTCTAAGTACCTGTCTGGGGTTGTTATAGCAAAATTGACCCACCGGCTCTCGTTTCCCCGCCACTGGATTATGCGGCCGTCGGAAACTCCGGCATAAGGGCCAGTAGCAGCAGCAGCTCCTGTGCCATCTTTTTTAAATGCTAGGCTCTCGGGGCCGGCTGCACCAAAAATCTGAAAAAGTTCCGGGTGCAGCTGCTGATTTTGACGATGCTCATTATCATCTTTTGTAGGCAATTTTTCTGCTGGTTCGACTGAGACAAGTGTAGATACTAGGACTGCTGCAGCTGTGGCTGCAAGAAACAGCTTATAGGTGATGGATTTTGGAAAGAGAAGAAGACTCCGTGAGTTCATCATTCCGAAATGGCTTTTGCGAAGGATACGGAAACTATTATGTATGTCAGGGGATGTGATGGCCAAACGACTCCTTTGGCTTTATATTCAGTTTTGAGTTATTTAATTAGTTTGGGAACAAACTTGACAATTGACTTTTTACGGTATGTTAAACCGATAGAATTTTTGTCCGATTTTAGAACTATATTATTGCCACAGTCTTGCTTTCTAACATGGGTCCGTTTGGATGGAGTATTTTTTGAGGGTTTGTAATAAATTTTACTGAAACTTAACGTAAAATTTAAAGAAAACTTTTGTACAGTTAAGGATTTGGAGAAAAACTTTTGGGCGCTAGCGGTGGTGTCGGTAGTGGTGAGTTGAGGTGGGAGAAGAGGAAAAAAAAGAAGGGAAAGATACAAAAAGTTTTGTATGTTTCTGGATTTTCGGGTATATATTTTAAAAACTTTGTGCTTTTTTTACAGGGTTATTGTAAACAAAGTTACAAAAAAAAAAACTTGTCTATTAAGAACATGACAAAAAATTTGGCTCCCAAATAGAGCCTATATATATATATATATATATACATATCTTGTAGCAAGGGTATTTGATGTAAAAAAAAATTGGCATATATGATTCATTTGAGAATATTTAAGTGACCAAGGCTAAACTCGTAAAGTTAAAGTTTATCCTAACTAGGCACCAAATGATAGGGTAAAATTGTGTTCCCCTGCGATCATTTTTTTTTTTTTAAATTTTGTCATTTACTACTGCATCTATTTTGAATCATTTCAGATTTTTCCAAAAAAAAAAGAGCTAAAACCCAAAATCTGCTCAAGCGTGTTGTATCTAGATTTTAAAAATTCTAGATGTATTTTAATTTTTTTTTTCTAATAACGAAGAAGTAGGATTCAAGAAACAAAAAGGAAAAGGGGATTCAAATTCAGAACCTTTAATTTCTAGGATTTTCAACCTTAACAATAAGGAAAGATAAAATTCAGTTGAAGATCACGTGGTATGGATGAACTCTTATTTTGATGAATAAGAAATAATAATGTGAATTACTAATGATTCAATTAAGTGACTTGTTAGATGAAACGAACTCAAGTTTGGAACTCATGGAGTAGAATGATGTAAATGAATTAAAGAAAGGATGTCAAAGTATATACACGATTGGAGAAGAAGTGAGCATGTAATTAAGAAGTTGATTGGAGAAAAAGGTGGTATCAAATGAGTAAGAAATGATATTTATATCAAGCAAGATCAAGAAAGTTTTTATTCAAATGTTTCACCAAAGAAGACAACTGAAGAAAGTATCAAAATAGCAAGGGAATAAAGCAAAAAATACCAGCACAAAAATAAAGGAAATGAGTTTGGGATGTATCTTTGACTGTCACAAGAATCATTATAAAATAATTCAAGATAAAGTGGTAACAAATGATCAAGAATTGAAGAGTGTATCAAGCATGTTGTCGAAAAATTCCAGAGTATTAATAAGGTGAAGTATAGAAATTGGAGGTTTAAATTTTGATCTTAACCTCAAATATATCAAGAAAAATTGGTGAAGAAAGAGGAGTTGAGAAGAATTGAAGAAAAGATGAAAAATCAAAAAATTTTGGAAAAAAGTAATGTAGCAATGAACTGTGGTACTATAGCATGAATAGTTTGGCCATCCGAAATTAGTGTACCCATGTTGCTTAAGTTATTGTAGCAGTACTATAGCAAAAATGGAAAATACTTTTTGGAGAAGTTGGATTGGCTAAGCTACTAGCCAAACTCCGTTGGGCTGCCAGAGCTCCTTTAGGCTGGCTGAAATACCAAATGAAGTATTTAATGGCTAGTTTTTCAACAACTCTTTTTTAAACTGTTGGAGCTTAATTTCTCTTGATTTTTCTCACCTATAAAATGGCTCAAACACACTCCCAAATGAAGTAGTTCTTGGCTTTAGATTGTGGTATAGGTTAGAAAAGCTATTTCAGGAAAAAAAAAAAAAAAAAAACTCTTGTATTTGTAAGATTAAAGTGAGTGTTCTTCAAGTGTAAGAGTCGAGAGATAACTTTTGTAATAGAGGGAGGTTGTGGAGTGTAAAAATCTTGATTCAACTAGAGTGGAGAGATTTAATGCGAGTAAGGGTGAATCTCATTTGTGTATGAGAAAGGTTATTGTCTTACTTACATTAAAGAGACATTTAGTAGAGGAATACCAAGATTTGAAATAGTTTAGCAGTGGATGTACGCACCAAAAATGGTCGAACCCTTATAAAATCGGTTTGAATATCTTATCCTTTTACGTCTTATCTTGTTTTTGGTTGTTTTTGTACAATTGGTTGATTGAACTTGATTATCATATATTCATACCATTATTTACTCAATAATCCTTTGGAAGAATTTGTGATTTGGGTGAAGTTAGATTGAATCTAAAAAAATTGTGAACAATCTAATTTATCCCCCTTTTAAGATTATCTTTGGACCTTAAATCTGTAATTCTGATTAATCAAATTTTTTTTTTAAAACTATACAGCCACCAGAAACAACCCTATATACTGAACTAGTGTTACATGGTAACGACGTGTACATTAGCCACTGAAAACTAAACAAAAAAGACATATACAAGTGTACACTAGCTTCTCAAAAGGAAAAAAAAAATAATGTGTATTAGGGTGACTGACATGCTAATGCTAGTAAAAGTTGAGTTAAACCTGATAAGGATACACAAGATGTTGAAAACTCGGAACTGCATAAGATCATTCATGTTCTCATTCTGTAGAGCCACGTTTATATAGTAGTGATGTTTTCAGTATCTATACTGAAAGCTTTAGCTGTTTATCATAGGAAAAGAGAGCCCAGAAAAAAGAAAAAAGAGTCTCAACTGTCGTTACTAGTTTGGTGGAATTTATTTATACGTTCAGTTGTGTAAACATATATGATATATGTTTAATTGCTAGAAATGTTTATAAGTAAAGTTCGACGTTGCGTACAAGGTATGCACGTTATTCACCAGACTTGATAATGAACTACTGAGCATTTTTTTTTTTCCCTGCCCCCAGAGTATGTCCATATTTTATGCTCTAGTAATGGACCAGCCACCCCATTAGCAGGTTAAAATTTTACATGTATAAAAGATTGAATAAAGTTATTCAAGTTTTTTTTTTTTTTTTGGGTAACAATTTCCACTTAACTTTGTGTTTGTCAGTGTAATTTTCATATTACCATAGTTAATTGTTTTGATGGAGTCAAGTATGCTATAAACACAATTACTGAGATCGGTCAAGTAGCCGCCGAGTCTAGGGCTCGAATCCCGTGCATAACAGTTAGATGTGGAAAGGGCGTGCAGAAGGTGGGAAGGTTAAAAAAAAAAGAAAAAGAAAGTATGCTGTAAACATGAGGAGATTCAGTTTAATTTCAATTACTTCAAATGTCCTCTAAGAATTAAGGGTGTGTTTGGATTGCTTCTTTTCAAAGAAAAATTGCTACGTTTTCCGTGGACACATTTTTCAATCATTTTGTTAGCTAACATATATCAAATCGTTACAATAATTTTTCTACAAAAAGTTCAGAAAAATGCAATGCAAACAATAAAACCAGGCATGCAATTTATTGCAGATGCTGGTAAGGAGTACCGGAAGTTGGTGAAACTACCACGTTTTCATGAATGGGAATGATGTGTCCCTTTCCTTGACAATTCTTCACTACTAGCAGTACTAACTACTAAATGCTCAATAGCACTAAGCTTTCAATGAAAATGGGTAAAAATGTTACCTTTGAAATTCCATACTAGAGTCTCAGAGGCAATTGAAAGTACCTTCCAGCATGAAAATCAATTGAAATAGCAGATGAATCTAAACTTTTCGCTTTTTAGAAATAACTGATGAGCATTTCAGGGAACAAAACTGGGCAATTGCTGTCGATAGATTTGTGGATCGTGATATATCATATGTTCATAACCACAGTGTTGCAATAAAATTGTTTTACATTGCTCTCTCAAGATAATTTTAGGACATTGGAAGGATAATTTTAGTACTTAAAATCATTATACTAGACCATGGCAATATCATTTGTCCATATTTTTAGTACTAGAATATGCTTCCTATTATAAGAACGATTAATCTTGTATACATAATGACAATTATATAGACTATTGAATTTAAATGCACTTTTATATGTATAAAACTTGAATTTTAATTTATATTAAGATTACTTGTCATGCATCCAGATCTAATAGTGTATATGTATATAATATTAGAATATAAAAAATTAATCCTTCAAATAATAGCATAAACTACATATGCATGTATTATTGATCGTATATCTACCTTATGTTACACTAGTAATTCACATTTATTAGCTCACTGTGAACTGACAATACTATTTTACATATGCACTGCTTCAAAGGAAGAAGATTAGCTTCCAAATCCTTAATGAATTTTCACCATAAACAAATCAACTTGACCCCAAATGGAGAGAGAGAGAGAGTAACTTTTGAGCATTGTTAACCATCAATCAAGTGCCTTTTGATGTTTATTCAAGCATTTCCATGGAATAGAAGGTACATATCAACCGACAAAGAAATTTTATTGCCAAATTAACACCACCCCTGTCGCCCTCATAAGGATAAGGGTATGGCTGACATGGACCTCGTCACTGGAAAAGATTCCAATCAAATTCTTGTAGGAGTCAACTTCTGTGGGCTTTGCACTACACATCAAATTGGTGGTAGACAAGCTAGGATGGGGATAAGAATTTGTGGTTTTTCCAACGGTTTTGTTTTCCAAGCATCCATGAAGGACATGATTCTGATGGTATATAACAAAAAATTGAACAAACAAGGACCATTCTCTCAAGGGTCAATTTCATTTTTTTTTTCATTGGTAGATAGTGGATGTTAGGCTTCACTACTATTAGCTAGATTTATATGATAGGTTGGATAGCAATTCAATTTTCCATGGCTAGACAAATATAATTTGGTAATGGTTTTAACTTTTATTTCATTTATCTAATTTTGAGGGTAATATGATAGGATAGCTTGTGCCCACCAAACTACTTAACCAGCTTTACAGCCAACTTTATAGCTAACACTTTCGAAGGAACATAAAATTTGAACCTTTTTTGTTATAATTGAGAGAATTTGAATACGAAAACTCTTACTTACACTCCCCTCTCTTGATACCATCTAACCTATCTCTCCTCCAAATAAAACTTAAACTTATTATTGATGCTTTTGGCTGATAAATGGTTAAATGAACCTTTTTTTTTCCCTAAGATGATGTGATAGGATGGCTTGTGCCCACTGACTAATTAATTAACTTGTACGGCTTAACATTTTTCCCCCCGTAGTGGCTTGTACACTCTGTCTTGGTCGCTAGCTGGTGTAATATGAACCCTTTTTAATTTTCAAGAAACCGAAGTATTTACTATGATAATACAGACTCGAAGAGGATACGTAAAAAATTCAAAATACAGTTCTCACAATTTTAGCCTTTGTACTAGTCAGGGGGCCGGCAACTATCAAAATGCAGGTCTTGAATTCTATCTCCCCCGGTTCTCTTCTACCTTTGGTTCTCCTTAGGGAGACTCATTCATGCATATTTCATGATGTATACTTTCAAATGTATACGTTAGTCTTACCCCACGATTCGTTACGAAGATATTGATTTGTGAATGAAATTTTATTCTTAAAGAAAAGTACTACTTCTGAGGGGGAATACTAAGTTAATAATTAAGTATGACCCCAGAAGTTTTTATTAAGAAATTTAGACAGTGATTGATAGTCAAGGCAAGATTACATGGCAGTAGTAGAAAGGCTATTGCCGTTTGGTGGCAAAACATTATTGTCAAGCATCACGTTAATTAATCTGAAGAACTACATAATTTCTTGTGTATTAAATTTTGATATTCACATCAAAAAAAAAAAGAGAAAAAATCAGCTTCTTACTTGGTGTTGATTTTCTGATGGGAAACTGATTGAGATTTGCACTCCAAATAGTCTGTGTAAATGCTTCTCCAGGTGACCTTTAGTGTTACTTGTGACATCAAATCTGAAACGTTACATCAGATTCTCTTTGAATCTTGAAATTTAATAAAGAATCCAGAATGGAATTTGTTAAAAGTGTTCAGTTTAAGATATGCCAATGAGGAAATGGAATGGGTAAACATACTGAATTACTCATTTAGTCCAACAGGGAAACAAGATTATATGAAGTAGTTGAGCAAATTTTAAAGCTTGTGTCCTCAGATGCCCCATAGTCGCCAAATACTGAGCCCAAATTCCTCAATATCCTCCGTAGATTTCTCTTCTTGCACTTTTGCAAGGCTAGTCATCGTGCGAATTGTCGGATACACAAAATGTGGAGAAAGCACACATGACAAGAATGACAAATTGATAAGCTACAATATCATATGCAAACAAGAAGTGTACCAGCTGCCAAATATATGCATCCTTCATAGCCAATCTCATGCTCTCTCATGCTAATTCACTGAAAGATTGGATATCTATACATGGTGTTCAATGCACAAAATTCAAAGACTGAGGAAGAATATCTATGAGGCGAACTTTATCCACATGCAAACTTTGTTGGGGCAAATGTTTTAGTTTATAAATCAAATATCTGAAAATTTTCATCAATTTCCTTACAGGGGAAGAACCCTAATTTTCTAGGACTTTTGGAGCTTGTGGTCACTCCCTCTAACTCTGGCCATGATGAAATTTTTGTTTCAACCTCAGATTCAACACATGGCTATCTTTTCCTGTATAGTTTCCCTGTATCAAGGATTATGGACCACTGGACACCGTATGGTCTTCTTAGCTTCCCAGTTCCAACTGCAACAATGCAGATCGAGTCTACGGGACTAACATCTGTCCGGCAATAACTGAGGAGTTATGCTTGAAATCAACTGAGGAGATATACTTGAAGAATGTGGACCACGATTGGTAATTTTGTATGGTTGTATAGTTGTATTTCTTACATGATTTGATAAACCATCATATAACTTTCTTTTACATGTAAATTTTATCTATGTATACCAACTTAATGCATAAATATAATTTGATCCATAAGTATATATCAAATTTTTTAAAAAGTATAATAATCGTATCCAACCAAAGCCATGGATTGATAAATCAAAGTGCTGCATTTTTTGTTTTTTGAAAATAAAAGATGCATAAAATAAATAAACAGTTTAAATAGTGCTACATTTGTTGATCAAAGGACCTAGCTAGCACAGAAAAGCCATCAGATCGTACACGACACTACTTCAATGAGACTTAATTCTTGATGTTCCACATGAGAACTAATGGGAATTCACTACCCTAGACAATAACGACTTCATGGCCGCTTTAGGCCACACAAAATAAGAACAAAATCTATGTATTATCAAAAAGACAATGACATGAACATCAAGGAGGGCCAAGTTCCTAGAAGAAACACAAAACAAGGAATAAAGTCATTTGATTAATGTTTGATGAAAAGCTGCAAGCAATATTTATTGTATATGCATGTGAAGAAGAAGAAAAACTTGCCATCTTGGGACAGAGAGGGCGCAAAGCAAACTATAAAAGCAATTACAATTTACAGCAGGGTTCTGCAGTCCAAGTGGTAAGTTCAATCATGCAAGATAGGTATCCATAACTGATCCAACCCACAGCTTCACTTATGAGTTCCATCTAATATAGTTTGGAAATCCAGGTTGCTCATGGAAGATATCATGTTTTCCAGCATTAGGGCTTCCAAGCTAGTATCTCATCATTCAACATATGTGGTGGTTTTGGCCAGTACATCATTGACAAAAGCAAGTCCCCTAGTCGTACTGTTACTTCTTTACTGGATTTTTATTTTCCTCTTTCATGCTTTCATAAATTTCCTTAATACACATTAAAATGGAGGCATCAGAAGAAATTTTTAAGTAGTAATTATCGAATACAAAGTTACACTTCATGGAATATGAGAACTCGGCAAACCAATATCGGTGCAGCCCCTCATTTGTGAAATATCTTTACAGATTATGATTTCTCGTACACCCTTACTATGCATTTTTTCCTCCTACACATGCTTATCATTTGAGCTAAATAAGATTTGAAGGGTGTGCAAGAAGATTTTGATTGCAAGTAACCCTAAATATTTTATAGCTAATATATTACAATTTCTTAGAGTAATAAATCATAATTGTAATCGAAAAAAAAGTTTTTTGAGCTCAAAAGGTATAATAGTCTATGTATTTCTCACCTTACAATGTAACTTTTATTTTTGAAAGAAATGTAATAAGTACTTAAAAACAAATTATTCTAGAAGTTCTATTAGTGAATATTCGAGATAAATTGCATGTTCTTTTAAAATTACAATTCAAGACAGTCACTGTAAATTATTATGTTTAGGGAGGGGTTAGTTGGACGGTAAGGTAAGAAGGATTGTAAATAGGAGATCTTGAATACAAAATCTCCCACTTAAAAAAAAAAGTGTAAATTATTATGGTCCTGTACCTAAGCTTTTTTGGCATTCAATTTGTTAAAAAGTAAAGTTTCTTGAGCATTTATGTCATTTTGGTTAATTAAAATGAAGAGAGGAGTACTGAAAGGATGAATGTAATTGTGGAATGTCAAAATCATTGGTCAGTTTTATATTAGTTAACATAAAGCAATTAATCAAAGCATTTTTAGTTCATTTTCAAACTTGAAAGAGAAAAGCATAATGGACTAGGTGAAGTACAATAAGCCCTTCTCTGAATTCAGTCCATGATGTTAACTTCCAACAAATGGCCCATGTTTTCTCGATAGCCTCTTTAGTCCCACCCCACGGATCAAAGCCAATGTACTTCCATCAGACAGATTATGGTTATTGTTGCATCGTTAATTTTCTGTTTAAGAAATTGATTATGATAGTAACTCTCTTAATTAGCTCATACATGGGTTAAAGAAAAGGGTGCATTTTAGATATCACTGATGAAATCTTACTTTGGAAAGATATTGTTTGAGCAACAGACAGGCAAGAACCGAAACTTGAGCTGCATGTATAGTATAGACCCAAAATGTAGACAAATCTAAGTTGATAGCATCCCAATTGATGTCATATACTTGGCTAGTGTGCAGGCATGATTCGGTTAAGCCGAACTGCTTGCCTGCAACTACAGCAACAGAAGAAGATAGTGAAGGAGCTGAGGCTTGTCCCCTATTGTAGCTCTGATAAACGAATGTAAGAGAGTTGAACAAAATTCGGGAGTTGCAGGTAGGAGTAATCCGTTACCTGAATGGATAAGAGTGTAGTAGTATATATAATCTTTGGAACAAGTATTGTTTGTGGGCAATCAGGTTGTCACGATGATCTTATAAGAATCCGTAACGTTGTTACATATAAATTGCTATTTTTATCATATTAAACGACTCACGTATCAAGCGGCGTGAGTCACATCAATCATATCAATAGAATAGATTTCAAATCTATCATTTCGAAACGCAACTTTTCGGTCCAAGATGCCGAGGCCCGGAATTTGGGGAGGGTCTTAGCCGAGCCCTAGGTCCTAGCCCCCAGAGCTAGCAAATTGGTTGAAATGAATTTTCGAAAGAAAAATTATGGTCCAGGACTAGATATTGAGCAACTAATAATGTCATGTAACAGAAAACCAGCATGCATATTGTTCAGTAAAGGTGAATCATTTAATCTGCACAGCATATATTTGAACCGTGTCACTAGTAATTTAGTGGTTCTTTACCAAGGATATCAAGAAAAATGGAATACTACAGCATTCTCGAATAAGTACCTGTTAAAAAAAAAAAATGAGCAACCAAGTTGAACTTCAAGCGCCATGAAGCCAAACGCAGCCATTGCCCAGAATAAAAATCACGATCTCTGATGAATAAAGTTAACATGGAGCTCGCTGCTGATTTTCATTTCAATGTACCACCATTTTTTTCCTGAATGCATCCTGTGGAGTTTAGACCACCAAAAACTACCTTCTTTACTAGGCTTTCTAGTCTTATTGCCTTGCCCTTTTCTTTTGCAAAATATAACGTTAAGTTACATGATTCGAGGTAATATATATGTGATCATGAACCGGCCACTCATATAAGAACTCAGAACAAAACCTTAAAATCATTAAAAATAAGGCGTGAGAAGAAGCAGAGGTTCAGAGGAACCAAGTCTAGAGTCAATAGCAGCTATAGTTAAAGAATGCAGGGTCTTCGCAGTGCAGACACCATTCATATGCCAAAGGACCTAGAAGGCATATACATCAGAAGATGTCAAAAGAATTAAATTTTTGAGTAAAGGTATATACTGTTGTTCTGCTAGAATAAAAATACAAATGTTAAATAGAAAAATTAACAATAGTTATAATAATAATAAAATAGTTAAAATAATAATATAATAATGCACAAATGTGAAGCGCTAAGGCACGGATATCTTGCTTTCTTTAAGATGATTTAAGCCTCTACGGAACAATCAATTCCGGTGCAACAGAATCTTCGGCTTGTCACCCCCAAAATACAACAGCCCAACCACACTTGTTGTCACTCTCATTAGTCTGCACAACTAAGAGAGTATAGCTCCACTAACACTGATTTTTCTTTGCGATAGAAAATAACAGAGTAGTAGATATTTTTTCTGTTATGAATTGTAGCTTACAAAACATAAGTTGTTTCACCTTTTTCTATCTCAACTATGCATGTTTATAGGTGAAGGAAAATTAGACAAACATAACCTACACTACTAATAAGACACCAAGTAAATGCTGAAATTATTGGCCATTCAAAACACATTCAAATTTGTATTGTAAGTTATAAAAACTTATTATATGAAGCCATAATTTCATATAATAAGTCTTTAGTCAAAACCACTCAAACACCTATACATTGCAGAAAATATCACCAATTTATTTTCATTGTAACTTACACCTTTAACTGAGAATTTAACTATTTTATCAAAATACTCCAACATGTACTTAATGAGATTTACTACAATAGGCAGTGCAGGTCTGGCCCCCGGGGCATTCTAAGCCCCAAAGGAATATGAAAAACAGGAGAATGTCCATCGTATTCTGGGATTTTAGTGCAAGGCAATGAACCCGTTGTTTCCTTAGTCCAAATTGTAGATTCCAATAAAAGGCATCAAAACAGATCCAATCCACAACTTCCCATTTCTCTCCTCAACTTCGCTGATAAACCTCAGGGTCTTCCCATCAAGATCTTCCAAGACTTCCAAAACTTCACCCTCCTCACTAAGCTTTATTGCTGTTGCGTGAGCCTGCCCTCCTACTAAAAAATGGTGCAGTTGCTTGAAGCTTAAGGGAAGCTTTAACAAAGTCTTCCCAGACCAAGAATTGGCAATGACCCACTTTATGAGAAGTCCAGTCTTTGCATGCAAAGCCACCCAAAACTCTCCTTTCGAATTCCTTCTAATATTGTCTGGAAATCCTGGTAGCTCAGTAAAAGTATCATGTTTTCCTGCATTAGGCCCTCGAAGCCAGAATCTCACTATTCTACAAGTAGTGGATTCAGCCACAAGCACAAAGGACTGATCTTTGCTTAGAGACACACCATTAGCAAAAGCAAGTCCCCGAAGCAAAATATTTACTTCTTTGGTGGATTTATCATATTTCATCAGTCTTCCTGTCCTGTCTGCGCTCAAGACTGACGATATAAATTGCCTAAAACAACATAAAAAATGAAGCAGTACAAGACTAATTAATCAGATGATGTCAAATTTGGTGTCATGGAATGTACATATTTAAGCATAATCAACAGCAGTGCCTTAGTCGGATAAGAATATTTAAAAGAAAATAAAGAAGGCCAAACAACTAAATCAGTCAATTTTCCTCCAGGCTGCCATCTTATCTACATCTTTGCCTAATAATGGATATGAATTAACTACAGCACCAGATGTGGTCAATGCAATTAGGCAAACTATAGCACCAGTTGTGGTCAGGTATTTTGCCAAAAACAAGGTAAATGACTAAACATTAATATAGGATAGTTAAATTACTAACTATTCAGTTACTAGTACCTGGATTAAGTTTGCCAGATGAAAACAGAGTTGCTCAGTGCCTAAGAACAACCGATTGGAAACCCAGAATAGCTTTAATTGAAGTGTCTCTTACTATGCATCTTGTCTCATGATATGTAGTTTTTCACAGAAGCATGAACAGTGTTTCTAATCTCTTTTGCATTTTAGGTGCTCCAGAAGTAGAATAAGTTCAGCCAAACGAGTCGTCTATATTCAGTTTGACCAGATAGCTTGATCATAGAATAGCACCAAAGTCAAAACTGATCTAAGAGGACTATCTGTAAAACTAATTACAGTGCTGCTTGATTGGAGCAAACAAAGGAGTTTACCACGTTCAATTTGAGCAGATAGCTTGATGATAGAATAGCATCCAAAGGCAAAACTGAAATCTAAGCCATATATCTATAGACAATGAGTACTGCCATCTCCCTCCTTCTAATATTGTCTGCAAGTACCGGCAGTTCATATTCCCCAAAACTAGCCACAAGTAATTATTTCAGAACCAGTTGTTTCAGTTGCAATGCATAAAGAAGCAACTTTCGCATAATTAAGTCAACACCATTGCCTAAAGCAAGAGGTCACATTCCTTAGCTATCTCCCCAGCGCTAAATTATAGAGTACATGATATTCTAAATGAACATGAACATTTAGAAGCATCAGAGATAACAAATAGGTCATCAAAGACTATATTTTATCAATCTAAGTGTTCAAGCACCTGCCTGCATTCCAAAAGAAACAGCAATATATTAGTGTAGTTTAATCCCTTATTCAGCATATCCCCAAGATGCATATGATTATAGAGAAGGTGTCACACAAGTACACTCTTTCCTCTATACCCGCAAAGTATTATTTGCAAAAATACAGTCAACTCTATTAGGGGCCTAGCTTGTAAGTATAACCACTTCACTAACCTTGAGCCTACATCTAAAATCTTGATCATTTTTGTCTTCACAAATAATGCAATACAATGTCCCAAACTACTCTTTAGAAATGTAAAACAAAATGAACACTCTGAGATGGAACTACTTGCTTTGCTTGTACTAAGTATGCATGTATAAGATTCTGAGTTATCCAGGAATATAGCAAATGACCAACAGGGATTATAATTGAAAATTATGTTCAACTTGCACTGTATTAAATCATTTATACTTTAGACTGCCCATTTCAAGGAGTTTAGCTAATTGCTTCCAGTTTTAGTCTGCGACTAACTCCAACAATGCAAGAGTTTGTGAAGTATAAGTAAAATTACCTTCGCTGGAATACTGTGCTTGTGTCTGTGAAGTAAATGACATCTTCATGCTCGTCAATGTCCATGTCATTGGTGAAGCGTAGAACAGCACCTTCAACCTCTGTCACCATTGGAGTAGCTAAGCCTCCAGTTGGCCCTACCACTTGGAGGCCCAAATAGGCATCAGCAATATATAGATCCCCATTCTTCCGATCAAACCGAAGTCCTAAAGGCCTCCCACATATATGCTCCATATCCGGCGCAAATGGATGAAAACACTCCTTCCTTTAGAATGAGATGTCAAACATCTTGTTAGATTTTAAAAAAATGCTTATTGGAAAGCTCCATAATACAAGTTAAGGACTAGTGGGAAATTAGAACAATGGGGACAGAGCAGGCCCTTTATCTGCTTGCTAGCTACTCTTTCTCCTGGATCACCTCATTGTGAATTTAACCTCACATTTAGGGGTCTTTCATAGAACTGATCTCTATAAGTGGTGGAGTGCAACTCTAGGATCCTCAGCTCTACATGATGTTGTCACAGCCCAAGGTCTGATAAATCACCATGATTTATTTTTGGGCCTTGACAGATAATGATTTCACAACTCTCCCATAACTTTATTCAAGACCAGAAGATTTCAAATGTCGAAACAAGCATGCAGATCCTTCATGATCATAAATTTGGTCAAGTTGAAATTGAAGCTTTGCAACATTTGGATGCACTTATGACAAAACTAGAGACAAAAATAATCTTCAACAACAAAATAATATGGAAAAGTTCATGAACAATTAAAATACTTTTGTTATCCTCAAATCAATTGTTCCCTGAAAGTTGTAACATAGCAATAAGATTAAATGTTTCAAACTGAATTGTATAACAGAAATGATCAAATGCATTAAAATGATAGTATTTGCTGTCATTTCGAGGGTTTGAATAAGGACATACTGAAGAAACATAAAGACTCCATTAACATGTACAATGCAAATCTTGATGTACGGGAAATGGAGGTGTTCGTTTTTTCATTTCCTATTCTCTTGGCAATAAACAAGGTTCTAAAGATATCTATATGCAAGCAAAGTACTCCATTAGGGAAAGGGAGTGTAAGTGAAAGATTCTGGGTTTGAGCCCTTCCACTTACAATATTTTAAAAAAAAAAAAGCAAAGTACTTGAAAAAATGTGGTCGTTGCATGTAAAATGTTGATTATATGTTATATTCATACATTATAAACTAAATCCACCACGATTTTGTTCACTGTTAGCTTTTACAAAACGTAAACTCTTCTTCTTTATCCGTTATAATGGTAGAAGTAGGCCACTAGCAAAGAGCTATCTACCAGGGCATGGCCTAAATAGTCCCTTTACATTAGCAACTTGGTACTACAACAAATCCTGCCAGAATTTCTGCACTCACTAGCCAGGGTGAGACACTCCTAGACTCCAATCCCTCCAACCTATAATAACCCTAGGAAAAACTCCATTGTATTGACCATGGGATGTAACCCTTGTGAAACTCAACTACAATCCTTGACAGTCTTGTAGTGTTGTCAAACAGGATTCAAAGGCCTCAACAATTACCAGTTCTAATCGCACTAGACAATGTAGAAACTAAAGTCACATTGCTCAGTCGAGGTCCAATCACATCTTCATAATCTTTCCAACTGTCAACCTAAACCACACAATTTTCAATTGGGAGTATCCCAACCATGAATTCTTTGGTGCAATTGCACCTTACAATGGTTGAGAATCCTCTCCCTATCGAACATGCGAGCTCGAAAAGGCTAATTTTAGAAAATAGAATGAATGTAAGTTATCATAATAGCAATTACTCTGCTTAGGAAAGGACCACAAATATGAGACCATATGTTGTAAACAATAGTAGTCCTGTGGTTATTTAATGCAGGCATAAACAAAAAATAAGTCCTCCCTTCTAATCAATTAGTAAAAGAAACAAATAAGCAAGAAATGCTAGGCCAACAAGAATACTAAAAGGAGCTCAAAACCTGTCCAAAAGACCATAACAAATTCTACGACATGCCAACAAAAGGTTTTCCACCTTTGAGAGGAGGTGACTGCAAAATCAACCCAGCCAAGTTGATGGCCTTGCCACTTGAGAATCCGACCATCAGCCACACCAGTGTAGGGACCTTCTCCATTGGGGTCAAAAGCAAGACTTTCTGGCCCAACTGCACCTGTTAGATTAACTGTGTCTGCTTTATGCAGCAAATCACGGGAGCCCTCTATCGCTGGTGGTCTTAACATATTACTGGTTGTGCCGAAGGCCCAGATGACTGAGAGAACTGCAAGTGCTGTAGCAGTCAAGAGGAGCTTTGGATTCATTGCCATGGCTTCCTTAGAAGACAACTTCAAGAAAGTGACTGTGAAGCTCGAAGTAGCAGTTCAGTGGCTACTTGACGGCACGTCGTCCACCTAACTTTTTCACCCAAAAAAAATTTTTTTTTGTTTGTATGCACTTTTTAAAAATAACTTAAATAGAGTCTTTATGGCTAATTTCTTTGTATATTGCTGAAAAAATAAAAAACACAGGAATGTTGACCTGACAGGAAGGTGGTATAAAACTACTAAAGTGGTATAAAATTATGCCTGCCGAGTTGATTCAACCAGACAGCCAAGGCAAATTTTTTTTTTCAGACCATTGAGATACCCGGCTGACTAGGCCCGACAGCCAACTGGAATTTTCCTGAAAGGCTACCCGATTGTTAGCCACTTGAAATTTTTTTTAAAAAAAATTGTTGGGCTGCCGGATACAGTAAACCTTTCTAACGTTCTCCTGCCCCCAAACGTACAATTAGCTGGCTACTGTGCCCGGCAGCAAAATAGAAACCTTCCTAACATTCTCCTGTCCCCAAACGTACAATTAGCTTGCTTCCAATACCAAATGGTCAAATCTAGAAATTTTGATGGGATAATTTAACCACTGGGCTAATGGCTCAGTGGCCATCAGGGAGGGGCTTAAGTCCCTTCTTGGACTGTAGGTGAGGTTTGAACCCTCACCTGCAGTAAAAAAAATTTAAAGGTTGTGCCAGAACACTCTCTTGATTTAGTTGGGTCTGTATACCCACTAATACCCTATCACAGTCTCTTTAGACTCCCCTCCCCCTCCCCCTAGATTAGGATAGAATAGATTATACAAATGTATCGTTGACAAAAAAAAAAGATGGGATAATTTCAAAAACCTCAAGGGAGGTTTTTGAAAGTTTCACTTAGTATCCTCAAACTTTAAAAAATCTCATTTGGTTCTTCTACTTTAAACTTTTTGTAATATTTAAAATATATTTCAAAATATAATATTAAAAATCTCATTTTGGGAGAGAGAATACAATTTCATTTCAAATTTGCCATTTTCTTGTGATTTCTTAATTGTCATAATACACCAAATTTATTGCTTAAGTTTTATAAATTGATCGACATAGTTCTTTAATGAAAATTTAATATTTGATAACAGGATAAAAAAACTCTTTAACAATTTTTGTGTCATTGGTTCGGACAAAAAAGTTAATTACTTAAAATTATAAATGATTTACAGTACTCTTAAAAATAACTTGCAATAATTTATAACTATGAAAATACCTTTTTGGACTAAGTTGAAAAAAAATAAAACAAGTTTATATATAAATTTTAACATGTATCTTTTTAGTTGTCGAGCCATCGATTTAGACAAAACTTCAATAAAGTTTTAGATATATATTCTTGGCATTTAAAAAAAATTATATTTTGTTACATCAAAATAAATAATATCAGCAACAAAAAAAGAAAATTTTAAACTTGTTGATATTATTGTTGATGACATAAAACAAATTTTTTGTTGCTGATATTATTGTTGTTGATATTATTTATTCTGATGTGACAAAATATAGTTTTTTAAAATGCCAAGATTATATATTTAATACTTTATTGAAGTATTTGCAAGTTACAAAGATAATATTTTTCTTTATTGTAAAGTGTTTTGAGTTAATTTATAAATCATTTACATATTTTTGAATTTTTAAATTTTTTTTGTCTAAATCAATGGCTTGACAACTAAAAAGATACAACATGTTAAAATTTATATATAAACTTCTTGTTATTTTTTTTAGTTAGTCCCAAAAGGTATTCTTATGGTTATAAATTATTGCAAGTTATTTTTAAAAGTATTGTAAATCATTCATAATTTTAAGTAATTTAACTTTTTTGTTCGAACCAATGACACAAAAATTGTTAAAAAGTTTTTTTATCCTATTATCAAATATTAAATTTTCATTAAAAAACTATATCGATCAATTTATAAAATTTAAGCAATAAATTTGGTGTATTATGATAATTAAGAAATCACAAGAAAAGGGCAAATTTGAAATGAAATTATATTCTCTCTCCCAAAATGAGATTTTTAATATTATATTTTGAAATATATTTTAAATATTACAAAAAGTTTAAAGCAGGGGAAGTGAGATTTTTTAAAGTTTGAAGATGCTAAGTGAAACAATCAGAAACCTCAAAGGAGGTTTTTGAAATTATCCCATAAAAATTTCTAACTATGACCATTTGATGTGGCATTGGAAGCGAGCACGTTTGTGGGTGGTTTCTAACTGACCATTTGATTTGGAATTGGCCGTTGGGTACAATAAGCTCGGTAGCCCAACAATTTTAAAAAATTTTCAAGCAGGCTGTTAGGCTTACCTCCCGGCAGCCTTTCACGAAAATTCCCAGCTGGCTGCAAGGCCTAATCAACCCAGCAACCCAATAATTTTAAAAAAAAATTTGCTTTGGCTGCCGAACTTTCGATTCACTCGTGGGATCCCGGGCGGTCCGGGGGGACCAACGTGGCTCCTCTCATCTCGAGAATCCATACATCCCTTATCAGTGTATGGACAGCTATCTCTCGAGCACAGGTTTAGGTTCGGCCTCAATGGGAAAAAATGGAGCACCTAACAACGCATCTTCACAGACCAAGAACTACGAGATCACCCCTTTCATTCTGGGGTGACGGAGGGATCGTATCATTCGAGCCGTTTTTTTTCATGTCTTTCCGGGGGGTCTGGAGAAAGCTGCAATCAATAGGATTTCCCTAATCCTCCCTTCCCGAAAGGAAGAATCAGCCCGACGGGTATAGTTTTATATCAGATCAGTATTCCTAGGATTTTTTATTTTTCCAACAATAAACAAAGGAATTAGCCCTGTTTTATAACAAAATTGAGAACAAAATTCAAAATGGTCAACTATAACTAGGTTTGAAGATGATCTCACAATCGGCTAAAAGAATAAAAAGGTGGTGCTCTTAATATCAAAATTAGAAATGGATATGATATGCTTAACGTTTTAAGGTTTTAAGAATATCAAATTTGGAAGAAATTTTAAATATTTTTTAGTAAATCAAATAAGAACTATATACTACATAAAATATAGAGATGGCAATAAAGGCGGATACCTACAGGGCTCAATGGGACAAGAGAAAATGTGGAGCGAAGGGGGGCGAGGACAAGGGAAGTTTTTCTCCCCTCACTTTTAAACCGGACAAGTGGCAGGGGAGGATACCCCGTCTTATCCCCTGCTTTTTATTACACACACACACACACTACATAATATAATATAATTATATACATGTAATATGAAATTGATAATGTGATATTTTCTTATAATAAAATAATATAATTTTTCTTGTTAATTTATTGTGATTAAATAATGAACTTGCTGTGTTAGTTTGCCTTTTTTTTCTTACGGCATATTGTCACTAAATTATTTGAAATTTCTTATTTGACCACTAAACTTTTTATTTATCCAAAATTGTCATTCAACAATTTAAAACTTTCGTTTTGCGACTGAAAATTCATTAGTTGAGTAACTAAAAATGTAAATTATTAATTGAGTGACCATATATATATATATATAAAATTTAGTGACCAAAACAAAGAATTCTATTTAGACTAATGACTGCTTTTGCCATTTGCTTGGAACAAACTCTTCCTTTTCCGAGAAATGGCACCTTTTATTGATGATCAAAATGTGCATTCCAAACTCCACAATTCCGACGACTATATTTTCTTCTCAGAATATAATGCCAACTAAAATCAAGCACATCGACCAACAACATCGCTTTTGTGGTTTTCTTTTTTTAAAAAAAAAAAACAGAAAAACAAGATATTTAGGGGTTAATGAAGAATAAAGATTGGTCCTCTTTTTTCAAATATCAAAAAAAAAAAAAATAGAGACGTTCACTATCCCATCAAATTTGCTAATAACAACGATCGGTTGCTTGTTAATTGTTTCTATGTGTACATACATGATCGATTTGAGGCCGACTTACAAGTAAATACTTAAACTCATCCATAGCTCCAAGTGTTATTCACTTCAAAAAATCAGCAAAAATGGTCAAATTTCTCTAAATTGTTCTGAATGACGTAGTTGGGCAGACATGCATTCTAGCCCATGGCTGACTAAGTCTGAAACTGGGCCTGTGGTTTATCTGATTCGTAAATTAAATGCAGATGGGTCATCTTGGCAAATCCATGTTTGGTCTGTGGAGGACCTATTCGGCACGACCAGGGCCCATTGCTTTTCGGACCTGTGGTGAAGACAGGTCATTAGACCAACAAAAGTGTGTAAGTCACAGACCTAAATCCTATAAACTGCATGCCAAACCTTGCATGGACTGTCATTTTTTTGTGTTTTACGTGAATACTTTTTCTATATATTTTTCAATCATCTTTTTATTTCACATATATTATATCTTTAAAAGGGACAGTAGTAATTTTCCAAAAAAATTCCCTAGAAAATGCAATCCAAACGGGAAGTATTCTCAAGTACTAGAAAAACTGATAATCAATTTTTTCTTGAACTAAAATTCTCAACAGAGTAACATTCTAATAAATCAAGAGGAAAATTAGTTTCTAAAAAAATTATTTTTTTAAAAAAAATTTGGAACTTTGATTTTGGAGTTAATGGTCTAATTACAAATTATATTTCTTTTTGGAACTCTGATTATCCATGACACAATAACATAAGGACCATTGACTTTAAAAAATCGAAACGTAGAAATCGATTTTAACCACAAACGACCCATAATCTGCCTAATGGATCCTCGTTTAAGATGAAGAAGACCTTGATCGCAGATTGTTAATCATGTTTATTAGGCTTCGAAAAGTTGGTTTAGGAGTTGTTAACTCATCTGTTTAAGACCAAATCCACAATTAGATTAATTGGGAGGACAAAAAGAATGAATGCCTTAGGGAACTTCTGAGGGACAATAGCACATGCCCAAACAGCTCTTCTTAAGGGCATGCAACAGTGATTGTATTGGAGTGGGGTAACACATAGTACCAAAATATTCAAAAACAAACACAAAAGACAGCTTCCTCTAGCTATGCTCCCAAATAAAAACTGTGCTCATCAAAATAGGTTTACTTAATTATTTAGCATTGGGATAGTGTATATCTTCTTGTTTACTAATCAAGATACCAAA